ATGAAGATGTGAATGCCATCTAATGAAGGTGTGAGTGATATCTAATGAAGGTGTGAATGTTATCTAATGTAGATGTGAATGCCATCTAATGAAGGTGTGAATGATATTTAATAAAGGTGTGAATGTTATCTAATGAAAATATGAATCTAATGAAGATGTGAATCCTATCTAATGAAGATGTTAATCCTATCTAATGAAGGTGTGAGTGATATCTAATGAAGGTGTGAATGTTATCTAATGTAGATGTGAATGCCATCTAATGAAGGTGTGAATGTTATCTAATGAAGATGTGAATGCTATCTAATGAAGGTGTGAATGATATCTAATGAAGGTGTGAATGTTATATAATGTAGATGTGAATGCCATCTAATAAAGATGTGAATGATATCTAATGAAGGTGTGAATGCTATCTAATGTAGATGTGAATGCTATCTAATATAGATGTGAAGCTATCTAATGAAGGTTTGAATGATATCAAATGAGGGTGTGAATGATATCTAATGAATATGTAAATGTTATCTAATGAAGATGTGAATGTTAGCCAATGAAGGTGTTAATGACATCTATTGATGGTATGAATGATATCTTATTAAGAAGTGAATGATATATATGGTGGAGGTGTCAATGTTGTCTAATAAAGGTGTAAATATTATCTAATGGAGCCGTGAATCTTCATTGAATCTTCTTTTTTTTTTCTTTTCTTTTTTATTAAAAAAAAAAAAAAAAAATATTCCCATGGTTGACCTAAAAAAGCTGACCTTACCCTCCCCCCAACGGAGCAAAATGTCAAATCCCCCCCCCCCCCGCTTATTCAGCGGCTGGCTGAGTCGTTGCGAAATATTCGGCCCGATTTATAAATGTTAAACCCCCCCCCCCCCCCCTTGAAAAAATCCTGCGTACGCGCCTGTTCACACCAATCGTATTAACCCGTTGATTCCTAGTCTTTCGAGAACTTTCGAGTGTAAACCCAGTGCTTGAAAGCCAAGGAGTTTGTCTTGAGGATTGAGTATACATGGTTGTAGCAAGAAGGTGATACATCAAGCCGTCACTTTCATCCGGTCTGTCGACGTCACATCCAGGCAATTGTTTTCTTGGGCTGAGATAATTGAAGTAAGCACCTGTGCAGCTGATACTCTCTTCAGAGCACACCCTTCGGTTCATTACCCTCCTAATTAGTACTCCAAAAGAGGCCCTTAACCATCTTTACTCATCTACTTTGAGGTCTGGACTCCTCTTTAAAACCGTATGAGAACGTTGTAGTATATTGGGAAAGGCTCATTATTTTCATACGAATGGTCCCAGTTCGATCCTTGCTCGGTCTTTGCATTCTTAAACTTGTTTTTCGACCACAATATGTTAGTCCCTCTCGTCCAAGAATTACTGATACCTTGCAATGCTGGCCCACCGAAAGAGCAGCATTAACACTGATGTACCTGCCCTGTGAAAAAAGTAATTATTATTACTATTGATAACTTAACATGCCGTTAACATCGCCAAACATGAAAGCAAAATCCTTGGTCAATTTTATACACAAATTAGTGTAATGTTTTGCCCAATCAGGATCACCATTTAGTAAAAAGAAAGAGCAAAAAAAACCAGAGTGAGGCATACAATGCTCCAAAAATTTAATAGGGCACAAAATTACCTTTAGGCTTTTTTCCTCTGTATTTTTTACACCGTTCATCTCCCGGTCCACACCGTTTTTATGAAGGAGGCGTTATATTCTATGCGTTAGAAAGCCTGCTGATTTTCAAGCATCAGGAATTCAGGAAGGCATAGAAGTGTGAATCATCATGAGATTATCCAGACAACGACCTTCTCTTAAAGGGATAGTTGAGTTTTGGTATAGAGGGCGTTACAAAAAAAATTATGTGGGATAATGAACAACTGAATGTCAAATTTGAAAGAACATACAATTTAATTTTAATTTTGAACCAGTCGTTGAAAAAACGAGATAGCGCCTCATCCTTTTTATTTCAGCCAATGCCAATGTCGGCTTTTTGTTGGCTTTTCGTGAATTACCTTCACAGCAATTGTGGGTCATAAAAGGGCATTAGACATGTAATAAATAAGAATAAGAGCAATAACCATGCACTTTGAAGGCATTTGCGGTCTTAAACAGGAATTCAACTGTCCATTCAATGGAAAGACCTGCAACTAAAATTAAAACAAATTGATTGGTGCGTGAATAAGATAATAGTTAGCGTTCCTTTTTGTCTTGCCGCGGGAAAGAAAGCCATAAACAATACCCCTCCTCCTCCTCACATGCCTCCCCAAAGCATCAATATGTCATTAAAGGATTAAAGCATGAATCATCTTTGGATTATCCGGGTAAAGCGTCCAGGCCTCCAATGGAAAATACTTGAAATATGATTAAAAAGTACTATTACCCGACTATAACTAGCACTAATTATACACAATTCAGGCGTATTTCAGAAGAATAGCTGCCTTCGTTCATGTCCACTTTATCGTCCCATTCTACCAATTTAGTATTGGCGATAGACCTGAAATAATAAGAATAACAGGCGGAACAAACACACAGTCGCTTCATTAGAATATCTATTAATATCGGCGTTGCAGACAGCACTCTTGCTGTTAATGATTACGAAATTTAGCCCGCCTAATTTCGACACGGTTTCCAAGTGATGTTTAATTATTGAACTGTGTCTTTGGTTTAAAAAAATTGGGCGATAATTGGAAAATGATATGCCAGATCTATGACAAAAAATATTGTGAATGGCTAATACTCGTGATAATTAACCGCCAATTTCAGGAAGTAGCAGGCATTGATAATGAGTAGGAACAATGAACCAGATGTGCGATATCAAACAAGGGGATGTGTGTGAATGTGATTTTTCTTTATTTCACTTTGCTTCATTATTTGCTTTTCTGTTCTTTGTTTGTATGTTACTTTGATTTGAGCTCCAGGCGATGGAAGATATCCCGACCTAATATGCTTTGAAATTGTGCATGAATGTATAAATAAAAGAAAACTTTCAAGTCATAGATGAATTCAGATTTTGAATTGAAAAAATATCAGCCTAATAGCAAAGAATGTTTCGTCACTCAATACTCATCGGCATTACAAAGACGAATAATGTATGAGGCAGAATTATTTATATATCATGCAGCAACACGTCCAATTTCTTTATCGTAGATACCTTTATCAAAGTAAAGAGTGGCCTAAAATAGGAGAATGATATATTTATCGTCAAACATTGAATACTGCATTGCGAGCAAGAAGAGTTTCTTTTGCTGATGACCTTGTGCCCAAACGTAGAGTAGGTACTTTTTGTCTTCTTTAGTCGCTGCATGTTTTCGTATTCTATTGCGTTAACTCTGAAGGTGAAACCATTAAATTGATTGAATACCACGAGCATGGTGATCCATTAAAGGCATTTAAACAGCTGATACTTAATGTAGACGTCGTATATAGGAAACATTCACTTGGATCCATAGTCTCGGCCCTACCATCGGCGTCCTCCTGCCCTTCACCGTTTTCTTTTTATGTTTTATATTTATCAAACATAGAGAATACATTCATGTGAATGATATCTATACCCAGCGGTGGCATCGGAGGTGGGAAAGGTTAAGTTTCAACAAATTTTAACAAAAGAAAAAGAAGAAAAACTCATCGCACCCTACCGCGCACCCATGCGCTTGAAAAAGTCATTGTAACCGCCATTGCCAAAATGAAATAAATGCGCTCAAATGAAAAGGTTAATCATAATCCTTTTTCAATTTCATATACGAAGAGATTATTTAGGATTGTTTTACAATTTGCCCTCAAATTCCTCCTTGCCCTCACCCCCCCCCCCCCTCATACACACACGCAAACACTCGGTAATTTTGTTTCGCCCCGCCATTTCCAAAAGACGGTAAATGATCTGAAACGGAAGATTTAACCATTATCATTCTCTCTACAAATTTAGATATAGAAATACACGATTACGAAGGACGATAATATTGTGAGAGATATGAAATTCATATTCGGCTTTTAAAAACCAAGCCCACATGCCAAGGTTGTCATCCATTTGACATTCAATGATTATCCCTAGTGCCAATGATATTGAGGTTTAATTGATCCTCGATAAACCAGAAACCGCAACCGCTTAGATATGGCCTTGAGCCCATGACATTTGATGAGTTTCGAAGAAGAAAAAAAAACGGTGGTTATTTCATTTCCATTGTTATGATGAGCTGGTGGTGAAATCACCATTTGAAAGAAAGCGGTATTTAAGATGTAAAAAGAGGAATTCGTGATAGAGTGTATATCATAAATCGTAAGAACCTGTTAATTATATTAAAACCCCTACTTTATCAACAATTATAAATCAGAATAATTGTGGGTAAATTTATGTTAATCCATCCTGAAAAATGGAGCTATTTGAAACGAGCAAAGAGCGATCCCACATGTTTTGTATCTTTACCTACTAAAAATCTACTGAATATTACCCCATTGTTGTTGTTGAATCAATGAATATTGTGTTCATGTTGTGTATCCACGGCGCTTTTGTTTGTATGATATGAATTGATAACATGTTCAAGGCCCCTTCAACATAATGTCGATTTTTTTTTTTTTTTCAATCATTTTAAATTTCTGTTGTTTCTCATTTACTGGTGTAATACCATTCATTGTAATTATCTGTCACATAAAATAATGTGTAAGTTAATATGTATTACAATGATATATTAATTAGAGTTTTGATTGAAGGAGATATAATCAATCGTGTTTTCTGTATGTTACAAAGCCATTTACATAGAAAATATCACACCAGTTAAAATTACCTCATCTAAAATATGTAAAACGTAGTTAATATTTTTAATCACTGTATCTTAATGCCTCCGCAACCCCTCTCATGTAATCAAATATTGAAGAGATTCGCTCAAATGTATTTTATATTAGATTATGAATTCTTGATCCTAGACTCGCTCATTAATGGTGGTGCGGGTTGCATTGTTTCATATGTTTCTCGACATTGTTCTTTTTTCTTCTTCAGAGGAACGAGCGGTCTCGATATCGACCTGCGGGCTATAGACATCAATCAATGCATCGATGACAACAATACCAACATCTCAAAGGAGGAGAACATCTTTTCAGACACCGATAAATGCGACAGAGCGTCACAAACGGTAAGAGAAAGGAAATAAAATCTTTGGCGGTAAGATATATGAAGTTTGTTCTAAATGAAAAAAACTGTAAACAAAATATACAATTTGGTCATAGGTTTTTATTATCATTTTTCATTCTTTACACTATTATGAGTATCTTTTATTACTATCATCATTATTATCACCATTATCATCACCATTATCATCACCATCATCATTATTATGATATCGATATTGTTATGACTGCTTTTTTCTAATAATTTCTATTAGGACTTGTAAACGCGCGAATATGACAACTATTGTGAAAAGCAGTTTTCTATCTTAAATGTGATGAAATATTGAGGGTGTGTGAGAGACATTGCATGCTCATTATCTATTAATAAGTTATATTATGGTTTAAAGATGCTATGTCCTATCTGTGAAATTTAATGGTTAGCAGTGTCCTAATATTCAAATAATGCAATTTTGTTTCTTCTTTGGTAATAACATACTTAAAATGAGCTGTAAAGGGTACATGAGCATTTGTATACATCAATAACCAACTTCTTGTAATGGCCGAAATTAAACTGATTGAATCCTTGCGTCTGAAAATCAGACTATTACTTACTGTATTGGTATTACTTAGGTCGATTCGACAACTAATAGTCGTTATTTGCCCACATACATTTTCAAGCTCCTTTTTTAGGGAAGTTCTAAATTAGTATTATCTTTGAAATGCCTTTGGAATTGAACTTTTTTTCATTTTTGTTGGCCTGCAATTGGGACATAGGAGTAGTACCTTTAAGACGTGGAGGGGAACAGAGAGGGAGGAGGTGAGATAGTAGAATAAAAAGATATATCCACATATGGATACGGGTCAAAAGAATTGAGATCAGGACGCTAAAGAAAACTCGCATCATCAAACGCCATAGTGTTGATGGCATGGCGCCGCACCCTCATTGTTATTTCCCACATGCATTATATCTCCATAATAATAGCTTAGTTTTTGCCACAAGATACAAAAGTTGCACAACTTGCTGATGCACTGATTCCCACGTAAGCAAAATGATGCCTCATGTGCTATACATCATATCTCTGAATAAAATCATCAAACATAAATTCATCGATTTTGTTTGTTGTTTTAATGCTGCTTTAGGTTATCTTGCTCCTGATGTATTAAAAATGATTCGTGCTTGAGATAGATTTGAGAGAAAGTCAAATGACAGTTAACATTTCAAGTCTTCTAGTTGTGTGAAAGGTCAAGGAAATCGGATGTAGCCATAAACATGAGGTGCAATATTTAAACAGTCTATATATATATTGTGACAATTTAGAGACCCGTATTCTGTTACTGAAAGCTTAAATCTGTCGCTCCATTTAAGCTTGGGGTAAGTCGAGCCAGAGCGACTTTGATGGACTTCGGAGTAAGATTTCTCTGTAGTGACGTCGAATGAAACGTTAGGCCACCCTGTTTAAACTTGAACCAAAAACGGGTTTAAAATAGACTTTACTCGCTCAATGAAATACAGGACTAAAAATGCACATGAGGAAAGACTAGTGTTCCATTTAAAAAGTTAGATTTATAAACATGAGAGATCTGAAATCCCTTACATTGATCCTTTTTTTATTAATTTTGCTGACTCTATCAATTAACGAACAGCCGTTGGGAAGTGCAGTCACGTCTTGTTTCCACCTGCCGCAGCGAACTATCACAGACATCAATTCTCATCTCTCCCGTAACCCCCATGTCTATTTTCATTGAGTAAACTAGGTCTAAGTGGACGAAGATTAATGGTGACATATTGCCAAAGTCCGATGACATTGAGTTCAGCAGAACACTGTCCTGAAGGATTGTGTGCTTCTTGGATTTCGGTGATGTGATGTGAAGGGTTAAAAGCCATGCAGGAAAGGGTTTTTGAGGATATAGAGATCTCAGAAAAGGCAGGAGCGATCAGTGGCAAGTCACAATTAACTTTCACTACCTTTAATCAATTTCTGAAGTCTTCAGTAACATAATCGCAGAGATTTTTGAGAAATCAGTTCGACGAATTCCAGTATCCTATTGTTTATCCTATTGATATCCTGCTGATATCCCGTTGTTGTAATGTTCACATATTTTTTTTAAATGATGAATCAAATAGAGAAATCGCCTTAAGTTGAACTTTCGAAAGTCTCTGCAATCCCATATCTTATGCACAAATCTGTAAAAGGACAGCTATTTAATACACTTTTATCGTGTCTATGAATATTAGCCTGCACGCCTCAATGTCGAGGGAATTATTTTGGTCATTATACTGCTAAAACAAATCACGGGACAAAATAGGAGCTATTTGCTCCAGCAATGAAGTGAAAAAAGAAATACGAGAATCGGTAAAAGAGGAGAAAAGCGCATGTTTACTCTCTCTTTTTGTCATATATGACGTCATATGCTCTGGTATCTCGTTCTATCTGCATTGTAACGGATCGTACTTTCACAAACCTTGAGTCGCCTCTTCTCTTGTGACTCAGTTCATGATGATGCGCGCACACACATGGCGGCCGAGGAGCAGCTTCGGTCCCACGTATTTGATCTAGCGTATTGACAAATCGGGAATAATACACCGTAATCCTCCCACCCACGGCGTGTGGACCATGACAGGGAACAAACAATGGCGTTGAGCGATCGATGCAGAGTAAACCAAAACTTGTTGAAACAGTATAAATTAGAGAGATTGTTGGAGTAAACAGCGGAGAAGAGGGAAGATCTCATAACCAAGATGTCAGGAGTTCATCAACCTTTTCCCCGGCGGGAACCCGGGAGTCCATTCCTCAACTTCGACTCGATGTGTCTTCGCGCCGTCATCTAGCATTACAATGGAGCTATCTTGTTCGAGGTCAGATGATTCAAGACTAGATACAACTGCCAATCCTTCTCCTATGGGCAGAGGCGGCGAATTCTTTTCATGACCAGGTTGACGAAATGCGAGGGAAAATCTGTATCCATACAGATTCTCTACAATACTTGTACATGTTGAAAGATATTATGGGAGGGAGCGAAGTGACCGAGCGAGAAGATTTGTGTATGTTTATTAGTCTAAACGCTGCACTCTTGGGCCCTCCAGAGCCTGCAATTGTGTTGCAGTCTTACGTCAGTGTTTGCTATACATTTTTTGTTACCCTTTTTCAAATCTTCCGCCCCCCCCCCCTTAAGAAAATTGAGGGGGGACGTGTCCCTCGTCCCTCTCGGATCTTCGCCCCTGCCTATGGGGAACGAAGATGGCTTCCCAGCAGGGTGTATCTTAATTGCCTTTCTGACACTCTTTCCGTGGTGTATATTGCGAAAATGAAACCACGAGAAACAAATGAGACACGACTCTTGAATACCACCATTCCTTCCATTGCTTTATTGTAGATGTGTGATTGAAGTTAAGGTGTACATAAGTATCTAATGCTAACAAATCGTTTGGTGCACTCCTACCCGGGTGTATTTGTCATTTCTTATTACCATTGAGGCTTGATTCTGGAATTATTGAGACAATAAATTATGTCAACACTTTGAGAGCAAGCCTACACTATTTGTGTTTTCATCAATTATAACTTTGTTGCTTTATTATCACTCTTCTATAGTCGTCCAATTTGCTATTCATTTTTGTTGCCCTTTTTCTAATCTTCCGCCCCCCCCCCTAAAAATTGAGGGGGGACGTATTGTATTTTATTAAAATAAAAAAAATTGTTCGTCAGAATTCGATCTTCCGAAAGTACTTAGTGACACCAAGAAAATTCGATTCGTGCATTATGATGAATAACATGGCAAATAAACTCTTTTTCTCTTTTAAACGGAAATATTTAAGACAATGTGGTCAAATTGCACAACTGTGGCCTCTGAACATCGTTTGTCAATCCCAGCACAAGTCTAAGAGCGTATGCATATCTAATAATATCAAACTAAGAAAAATGAGAAATACGAAATCGCACTCCTACAGTTCTTTTTCATTCCCACGTGAATACCAAATTTTGTATGATGAAATTAAATTTAACAGACTCTGGATGTCATACGCCACTCACAGCACAAGTACATATTGTATTTTATTAAAATAAAGAACTTGTGTAAAAGTTCGTCAGAATTCGATCTTTCGAAAGTGCTGCATTATCCCATTCACGTATATGCGCTGCTCTAAGAAGAGGTTACTTGAAATATGGTGTTCTATTCATCATTCTAATTATCCCAAGTTCCTGGGTAATCCGAGAAATTACTAAAACTAGATTCGTGGAATTCCTGAATTTATCGGGCACCGTCTTTTCTCCGAGGAGCCCCGGCTCCATAAATCTCGACTGCAATTGCTTGTCCCTTCTGGGGGCAAGGCGATGAATCTCAATCTTGTCAAACGGTAGGGGAGGGTGAAACCTAATGATACACTTTGTAAAGAAATGATACAATAAAAAGCATCTTCAAAACCATCGTATCGGGTTCACGCTTTTGACTTAAGCAGGAGTGTGATGTTAATGACAAAATTGTGTTATCTATTTTATTTTTTAAAACGCTTACATGTTGAATAGAGCCTTCCAAACCACAATTATTACACTTAAATTCATTTTTGTCAATTCCTGTTGAGAACTAATTTAAAATCCCGATGTGTACACTTCATTTCAAACATGCCCAGGATGGAATATTCTCGCCATTTGGTATTTTAAGGCTCGTACGTGCTCCGTTTGGCAACGACCTTCGTAGCCTTCCGGGTAGCCATTTATTCACCTGGGTAGAGACAAGCGGGGACAATTTTGTCGTGTCGGGATTATGATTTATGCATTATCTACCCCTCTGCCTCTGTCTCTCTCTCTCTCTCTCTCTCTCTCTTTCGTTCTCCCTCTATATTTTTATTTATCTGATTTTTTTCTTCTCCGTTCCTCCCCCCCGCACCTGATCATCATCCACCCTCTCTCTCTCTCTCTCTTTCTCTCTTTCTCTCTTTCTCTTTCTCTCTCTCTCTCTCTCTCTCTCTCTCTCACACACACACACACACGCACGCCCTTATTTTTTCTTCTGTCTTCCTTCTACCTTTCTC